GTGGTGTGAAAAAAGTGTTTCCATTGTAGTTTTGCAAAAACACCAATTTCGATACGACCGAAAAACCACCTCATCCTAGAGCAAAAACATTTTGTTGAAAAACGTAATTTTTTTTTAAATTGACGTGTTTCCATTGAGCAAATTTATTTTCGAAATTCTAATTTGCGCATTTTCATGGTCAATGGAAACACAGCGAATGACTGGCAGTCTTCTGAAGTCACGTTTTCAGGCCAGCACGGTACATTTGGAACCGTACTAAAGTACAGTATGTTCTGAAAAAGGGGGTTGGTTTCACAAATTCTTGTTGGAAAAGCCTTGGAACCATGGAGAGTCAAGCTGAATCGTGCTGTAGAGGTGCTAGTGGAAAAGGGACATTATGGTCCAAATCTGYCCCACAACCTGAGCAGTGAAGACCTAAACCATTGTTCTTTGGGACAGAATATCTCCTGCTGTCCCAAACCTGTTGAAGGAGCTCTGCCCGAGGAAATTCAAACAAACTAATCGGCCCTGAATTCTCCACAGATACTGAATTCTCCACAGATACTGATCCTGTGGCCTGAACACATTTTCTCAGATCTAAAAGTTTACTACTTTATACTACTTCTGTGATATTACTACTACTTCTACTTCCTGTTATCTTCTTCATCATCGTCTTTTTCACCAGTAGAAACAGCTGGTTGTTGATCACGTGACTCCTGTGATGCGAAAAAAGTGTTTCTATTGCAGTTTTGTGAAAAACACCAAGTTTGGTACGACCGTAAAACCACCTCATCCTAGTGCAAAAACATTTTGTCGAAAAACGTAATTTTTTTTAAATTGACGTGTTTCCATTGAGCAAATTTATTTTTGAAATTCTAATTTGCGCATTTTCACGGTCAATGGAAACACAGCTAATGACTCTCAGCTACTACCACAACAAACTGTAGCTCAGAGTTTAGACCACGGTGTTGTTCAGATCAGGTGGGTGTGGCAGCCATTTTAAAATGGAGTCAGACGTACAGCCAAAGATTACTTTCTGAAAGGTCCATTAGTGCTGTGGTTCATCAGATGTTTTGCTAAGAGGCAGACATAAAAACCCACTCAGACTGAAATGTTACCGTCAGCCACCAGAAGGCGAGGACAGACAGTGATGTTAAAAGAAGACCTGCTGCTGGTGCAGTAAGTCCTACCTGAGCCAGCATACTGGGCTGGATGTGAAGAGACTGGGAGGATTGGTTCTGAGCAATTAAAGGGACAGAGTTGTCCATTCTCATTGGATAAGCAGGTGGTTTGTTGGTGGTCTGAAGGCCTGTGTGAACACAGAAAGGTACATCACACCACATGGGTTTGAGCCGGTTCTGACTGCAGCTTCAATTGGAGGGTTGAGTCTCACCCTGGATGGTCGGAGGACAAACGATGAGCGTCTGCTGGAAGGGTTCGGTCTGGGCACAGAGCTGGGCCGGTCTGGTCTGCAGAGGAACGCCCTGCTGGGTCAGACCAGGGATGTTGATGGTGGCCTGCTGGTAGAGGCCGGGCTGGTAGTTCAGCAGGGGGACGTTACTGCTGAGGGACAGGGACTGACCTCCTGCAGAGGACATCTGAACAACACGGAGGACAACGAGCAGTCAGTCCTCACATCTCAGGATTAGTTACAGGAAAACATCCCCCTTAAAGCAAGACACACTTTCATTTATTCTGTTTTAATGAAACCTTTCATAAAAACACATCTTAATTACAGATATCACCMAACACCTTCATGTCAGAGTTTCAATAAAATCATCTTATGGTGAGAATTAAACTTATAGTTGTTTTTTTAACATGTAAAAACAAAAATCTGAAGCCAAATCACAAGATCTCATGTTAGCACTCAGAGGAATGACTCTCAGCTACTACCAYCCCAAAGTTTACCTGTAAAATTCTGTGTTTTCTTAATTCAGCTGGCTGTGGCGGCCATCTTGAATTGATTGTAGGTGCGTTTAAAAAAAGGGCATTATCAAACACCAAACAACAGACAGATAAAATAATATGTGACCCATCACACTGAAACGAGGATTAAGTCTAATAGTTGTTTGTGGAGAAATAGGCAGATATAGTGTTTTGATTAAAACACTTGCGAAAGTTACATTTTGTCAAAATATAACAAATAAATGTGTTATCAATGTATTATTTCAATAAACTGTCTGAAATATTATCCTAAAATAAATTTAAAGCAGTTTTTTGAGCAGTAGCAACAACAAAAAAAAACAGGTTACACCTTAAGGGGCTATCACCCCGTCCATGACTCCTGCAGGCTCTCGGGTCAAACTGAAAGTGAAACTTAACTGTCTGCTGAGCTCTCAACATTAGTTCTCACTCCATGAAGCTCTTTTCAGATTAAAAATACCTTTGAGGAAATGTATTTTCAGATGCCAAGTAAACTGCATCATGGCAGGCCCCCAAACCAAATGGGCAAAACGGAAGCAGAAGGTGTTTCTTAAAGAGACAGAGGCCAATTTCAAGGTGTTTAGAAGAGGAAGTGATGAGA